GAAGTTGCTTTAGTAGTTAGCGAGCCATTCACAGTCTTGAATAGGAGATAGAAACCCAAAACTGCTCGAGAAATTATGGAGCACTAGGTTCCTTGCCCACACGTAACGTGAACACATCTAAAACAGCCTTTTGAAGCATCTGTCTATTCCTATATTACCTCTACACAGCTACTGTGGGATCCACTAGTTTTCCTGCTGGGAATACCTGGAAACAATGACATGCTGTGAGAACAATGGGCAACATGCCTGTTGGTGACAGGTACAATGCATGTTGTTATACATGGGAAGAAACCGCACACTCCTGAAAGGCCCAGGTGGCATATGTGAGTGTGCACAATGTCATTCATGTATAAATTAACAGCGAGAAACAGAGAGACAGATGTAATGGATAAGGCTATTAGCCATGGAACAAGGGTTAACGCTAATGCTACTAGTAAGGGACCACGAGTTATCTAATTTATTTGCAAACAGAGTATAGTTCTGAAGAGGAACATACATACTTGGTGCATTAAAAAGAAAATTTCCTGAAACTGAAATTGATAAAACTGAATGGGTGGAAAATTTTAAACATAATAATGTTTAAATTGGGAGATGTTTATAAATGCTTTATCGGATGCGCCAAAAATCATTCCCACAATCACCTGAGAAGATTCCGGATTTTGTTCTTGATATAGTTAAGGAATTTCTCATTATTATTCTTAAGACATCTGGAGAGATGTTTCACTGATACCTTTATCTCCCCTTATCAGTTGGCTGAATTTCCTAATTCCTGATTTGCGCTCTATCAAACTGCAGCAGTTGCACATGATAGATCACTGCACAAGCTTTGTGTTTGAATAGCCATTCCTCCTTGTACTGTGGGTCACAAGGTCAATGTTACCAAGAGGCTCTATCCCCGCTTTATGCCTACAGTGGGCTCAGACGTCCTCCTATCTCAATGTATTTCTCTGTGTTCTTCCCCAGTCTCCATTTCCATCCAGGGGAAACCTGTCTCTAGAACAGAGGTGGGCAAATTCTGGTCCACGGGCTGGATCTGATGCACAGGGTGAGTCCCTGGCAGGCCCCCACCTCCAAGTTTACCTGTGTCTCCGCAGGTGCTGGAGAACTCAGCTCTCATTGACCGCAAATCACCATTTGCAGCCAATGAGAGTGGCATGAAGTGGCATCCCGGTCTGTGATGTGTCCAGCTGCTCGCATTGGCCACGAACGGCGATTTGCAGCCAATCAGAACTGTGATCCTTCCATACCTGTAGAGCTGCAGGTAAACATAGCAGTGGCAGCCCGTCAGGGACTAACCCTTTGGGCTGCCATTTTTTTAATGCCTCCCCTGCTCTAGAACCTAGGTGTAAAGTGGGCACTATACCTGGAAAAGACTGATCTCTTTAGAAAATCCAAATTATCTGTAGCATATGGGGACAGATGCCAGGAAGAACTCATTACCAATCAGAAGATCTCTCACTGGGTTTCAAGATGCACAGAACACAGTTACATTTTAACTAGAAATGTAGTATATCCTGGTTTAAAGATCCATTCCACAAGAGCTTTCAGGGCCAGGGACTGTATTTTGTTCTGTGTATAGCACAGAGGTGGCCAACCCATTCTGAGCAAAGAGCCAAGATATTAGTGGATCCAGCACAAGAGCTGGGGCAAAGTTGTCGAGAAAAAAAAGGACTGCCCCTTTAAAAGGAGCCCCCAGTCACATTTGGTCGAGGGGGGAAAAAAAAAGAAAAGGACTGCCCCTTTAAGAAAACGCGTTTAGAGCCACATCAGGCTCTTGCCATCTTGCCAGCCAACACCATCTTTAATGGCTATGCCCGACGGCTCTCCTGCCCCGTGAGCACAGGCACCCGGGAGGAGAGGACTGTTTTCAGGGGTGCGGGGGCAGCTTTACGAGCCACGGGGAGTGGGGGGGGGGGGGAAGAGGAGAGAAGGCTTGGCGAGTTGCACTTGGGGGGTGGGGGAAGAGCTGCATGTGCCTCACGAGCCATGGCTTGGCCACGGCTGGTATAGCACCTTGGATAATAATTAGGGATCTCAGGCAATAAAAATAATAATTAATAAGACATCCACATTTAGCTAGAATGCCTGATCTACCATCTTCCGGGTAGAACACTTACTTGCTAATCTCACACAAAGAGGTTCTCAAAAAGGCTATTACTAAGTAGAAAGTAGTGTTCTTCCAGAGTAATCTCCATGCGTGCCTACTGCCTGTCTTCCTTCCCCTGTATCTTTGCACCCTAGAAAGCTTCCGGAGTTTGTAATGAGGGAGGAGGACCAAGATGCTTGATGGGGGGCACTGCTTTAAACACTGTGGGACAATGTCATCCCCCTCAGGCAAGGTCTCTTGTGAACCTTGACAACAGACATGGCTTTTCAAGTCAGTCCTGCATTTTGACACTAGGGTGCCAGATCCCACAAGTGGGAATACAGAGATGCTCTCATGAAAGATGCTGTGACTCTGGGAGGAAGGGGAGGAGCTGGAAATTAGATATAAAGCAGATTTGGGGACAAACTGAGTTTTAGAGATGACTGATTGGAAGGCTGCACTGTTTGTCACATCTTCACCTACAGTGGCAGAAGTTCTGATGGGTTTCTGCTCAGAAATTTGAGTAATACATCTGGACCACCCCCAGAAATTCAGGAGGAAGTACAACCCATTTATGATGGATTGAGGATGGGCCAGGAGCTGGGAAAAAGGCTGTATTATATTCCAAACCTCAACAAATGACACTGCCCAAAGACTGTCTTAAGAATATGCTCTTTGATCTACTGCCTATAGAATGCGCTTGAAAGTAAAGCTCTAATTCTTTATTCAAAGCCGACTTTTTAATATATAACGGGGGAAGAAAACCCCTAACTCTTAAGTAATGTACTGTCATTTGTTTGAAATGGGCTAATTTATTCTCAAATCACTGCATGTGCCACAAGGAGAATATAAGAAGGAAAGAATAAAATCACATGGGGAAAAAATCAATTTGATGGACTTGAACACAGTCCCCAAAGTAGCCTGGGGATTTAGTCTGTGACATTGCCTTACTGTTAGCCTTCAATCATATCATTTATTATTTTTCAGGACTGCTGCAGAGAGACTATGAAGTGCCCAGACTAATGATCTTTGTATATTTTTCCTGCAGACTATTATTGAAACTCTATCAATTTTCTTTCCTAGCCTTTCCTCCCAAAACTATGCTTGCATTCCTAATTCATACAGTCCGAGAACTTGAGTCGTAAGGCTATTCAAACCAATTACCTTTTTGTTGGCAAACCCCAGTGATTTCTGCTCGTAGGTGCAGTACTGTTTTATACACAATGCAATTGTAAGAATCTAAACTTGAGAATGGAAGCGTGCTTTATAAACACTGAGGTGATGAAATATGTTTGGAATGCATCTGGATGAAACGTATACTATTTGATTATTTCTCAACTGATGCTTAATGTGCACATTAATGTTTAGAGAGAGACATGTAGGACAGCAAAGGACCTCAAGATGGCACCAAGTCCAGATTCCTGTGTTCAGGCAGAACCACAAACACATCTTCCGCTATCATCCAATATGTTCTTAAAAGAATCCAATGATGGGGATTCTACAACAATCCTTAGAAGACAGTTCCACAGCTTCACTACCTACTAGCTAGAAAGCTTTCCCTAACATCTAACCTAAATCTCCCTTGCTGTAGATTAAGCCCATTGCTCCTTGTCCTGTCTTCAGAGGCCAAGGTGAGAATCGGTCATCATCCTTTTTGGAACTGCCCATAACACATTGGAAGACTGTTATCCAGTCCTCCCTCACTTTGCTTTCTCAAGACTAAACATCACTGCTTCTTCACCTTTCCTCATAGGTCTGGTTTTCTAAACCTTTTATCATCTTTGTTGCTCTTTTCGGGATGCTTCAGTTTATTCACAGCTTTCCTAAAGTGTTGTGTTCAGAACTGGGCACAGTTTTCCAGCTGAGGCCTCACCAGTGCCAAGAAGAGTGGGACAATTACCTCCAGAGTCTTATGTACAACACTCCTGTGAATAAACTCCAGGCTGACAATAGCCTTGCTCACAACTGCATCACTTGTGGCCAATTTCCAGTGTGGTTAAGGGACTAAAATGAAGAGTTCTCAGAGGTAAAAGACAGAGGTGCTGGGCCTTAGGCTCATGCGACAGTAAGGTCCCCACCTTGCTTCATTGTTTGTCTCCCTCAGAGAGACAAGGGTGCTAGGACTCAGGGGGCAGAGCGCGGGAGGTGGGGGCTGAGCTAGCCTGAGGAGAGCCTATCCCGCAGTATGGGTTATAGGTTAAGAGCACTGTAGCCTCTGCCCTAGAATAAATTAAATGCCTTGTGCAGAAGAATATGGGAGCTGGGCAGCCCTTGTTAAAGTTTAATAAAAGCTGCATCCTGCTGCTTAACTCTGCATGGGTCTGACCTCATTGTTCCACTATGGCCACGCCAATTTGTCATGATCATTTTGAATTCTAATCCTGTCCTCCAAAGTGTTTGCAGTGTTTTACACACAATCTGTCCCTACCTTCATTGTTCAAAAGCTGCTGGGGGTAGCCAAGTTAGTCTGTAACAGGATACACTTAAAAAACAACAAATGGTCCGGTAGCACTTTACAGACTAACAAAACACGTGGATGGGATCATGAGCATTCGTGGGCACGGCCCACTTCGTCAGATGACCAGAGTTTTATTGTTCAAGCCACTAATGAAAACACTGAATAATACTGGATTCTTGGCTGATCCCTGCTAGACCTCACAAGATGCTCCCTTCCCCGTTTGACAGCGAACCATGGACAACTGTGAGTATGAGCTTGAAAGCAGTTGTGCACAAACCTTATAGTATTGCACCTAAACTGCATTTTCCTCATTAGCTGAAGAGACTTATGTGGCACTGTGTCAAAATCGTCACTAAAACTTAAGACATTGTACCTCTGTAGGAGAAGTATGAACCCTGTTAACATCTTTCTGTCCAAACAATGTAAATCATTTAATCCCAAAGCAAAATCACTTACAGGAGTCTTGGCTGTCGGATTTGAATTCTCTCTTAAGATTTCTTTGAGGGACTTTCTACTTATTGATGCTCTTAACTGACTGACTGGCGTATCCTTTGGTTTGTCAGAAGTGCTTGGAATTTCCTCAGATAATTTAGGCTTACTTCCAGTAGGAGAAAGACAGAGGGTAGGCATCAAACTTCTTGAGACGCTGTCAGGCTCTGCTTTTTCCTCAAGCGAGTCTTGTGGGTTTGATAATACGGATTCCACGTGGGTATGCTTGAGACATCTTTTATATTTCCTGCACTCAGGACTCACTGACATCACCTTTGATGGGAGTTCTTTAAAAACGGCTGAATCAGATGACTCTGATATACTGTGGCTGGTCTTGAGGTCTGAAGCACGTTCGGTGAATTCACTGGGGTCATCCTAAATTTGGGTGGAAAACCCAACAGTGATTTTGAGCAGAAACTACACTTGCTATGTTGAAGACCTGTTTGCAAATATTTAATCAACATTTTTCAAAATTACCCTTTAATTATCCTGGCTGAAGGAAAATGGAGCATCAGGTGCTCTGGACCTTTACAAAAATCAGGCCTATGTACCTCAAGTTGAGCACCCCAAAATGATAGCATGCTTTGAAAATCTAAGTCCAAATTCCTGTTCTAATTCAGAATGCTGGAAACCCTGAATGTACAGCATAAATATACCTTTTAGTAGAAAGTGGTTTATAAAATTGTGCTGACCAATACTGCTGATGTAAGGGAGCAAAATCAACAATGCTAGTATCCGCTGGGTTGTTGTAGTGGTAGGCGACTGTGTAACATACTGTATATAAACCCTAAACAGACCTGTCTGCAGGGATCACCTGGCCCTTCTTTGAATGTTACTAACAAAATCATTTAGAAAATAACAACATTTGCGAATACTTTATGAGCCGGTTATTCATGTTCCAAACAATGTGTATACAAAACATCTAAGCATTACACTTCTGATGTTCCCTTGAATTTCATCTCAGAAGTAAACAGCAAGCAGAAAACCAAGTGACATGGCAGGAGGAAAGACTGGGCAAACTGGGAATGGTTGCCCCATGCTCCTTACTGACATGAGGAAGCGGAAAATGGAGGCCTCCCCTCCTTATCCAACCCCATTCCTCAAAGGCCCAGCCCAGCACTATATTTGTTGGAAGAATGGCTATGTCATGAATGCTGCATTTTAAAATATGCCCCTACGGGTCAATCCTACTGATTCTGAAATGAATGAGAATTTCAGCATCAACTGCTCTGGGACCAGGACAAGACCCTAGAAGGTGAAATTCACACTGAAAAGAAAACACTTCATTACATAATAAACCTTCCAACAAATAGAGTAGCGCTGTATTACATATTTTCAATAAGATTACATTTCTCTCCTACAGCTTTAGTTTAAGTTTCTTTGAGTAGATTTACATACAACATGCAGTGAACATTTTGTGGGCAGAGGATAATGATCACATACTGGTCCCAAGCATATGGTTTTAGTTGTTAACGTATGATTTTGCTCTTAATATAAAAGAAAAAAGTAATAAGGCAGAATTCTACGACCTCCCACACCTCACAATCATGTATACAGCTTTCCCTATAAAATGAGCAAAGCAGCTTTTTAACAGCCACACCTTGGGGAAGACCAACAGAATTAATTAATTGTTCTTTCATATTTTTACTTGGATGCTCTATATCCAGGATGCTCAAGTCACACGGTTTTCATTTTCCCTGAAAAACAGAATTTTAGAGGATACGTGTACAGAAAAAGTAGGTCCGATAGTATTTATTGAACCCTTTTATGTAGTACTGTAATGACACTTTATAAGCAGATTAGTAGGTTAGCTGCAAATAAAAACACTGAAGTGTTCAAGTAAATAACAGAATCAGGAAATGAATATGGAAACATTTTGGCTGAAAGATTTTCTTTTATCTCTTCAGGCTATAAATTTAAAAATGCAATTAGAACGCGTTGTTTCCCCAGTCTCTGTGCAGACGGCTCCTATTTTCCTGTTTTATCATCCAGGATCATTTTGGAAGCAATATCAGAAAGTGAAGGTTACGATGAGGATGTATTAAATCAACTAAGTTCTATGAGAGAGTATGTAAACGCTGAAACAGTCGGATAAAAGCAAACATAAATGTTCTATATGGTTTCCATAATCACCCAATTCATCCTGAAAGCTATGTGAATTGATAATATACACGTTATTTAATTAAGGGTAGAATTTAACCTAAAAATCACATTACAATTCTGCAAAATTCATAAGCACATGCATAGCATAACTGACCCTTCCTAGCTTACAAGTAACTGGAAAAGAGATACGTATGCAATATTTCTATAGAAGAAATCTGAAACTTTCACATATATGAAGTCATTTCTACAGTATTTATGCGCGCAGCATGAGATTTAGTTACATGAAATGCCTTTAAAAATTATAAACACTTAACATGCTGCTTTTGTTCATTTTGTTATTGCTGAAGTTATATACAATTTGAAAGATTGCAACGATTGCTTTATTTCCCTAGTTCATGATTTCACTGAGGCATAGAGACACATTTCTCTGTCTCTCTTTTTTTTTAAACACATCAGTTATTTTAAAACCTATGCTATAATTCTGCATTATGACGTTACATTAGTGATTATTAAAGAAAATGTTACATTCTTTTCACATATTAGAGACAAATGGATAATCCTGATTTAACTTAAACCCCTCTCACATCTCTGTATCTATTGAACATGAATTTCATAATTATCTGTTAAATATTCAGTCATCAAATTCTGCCAATAAAGTCTGTCTGATTAACTCTAGCCCAGTATATGTATACTGGAAAAGCAAATGCTTTCCCTGAGGACCTAGCATATCTATTGCTGTACTACAGTCCCTAAAAGGACATGAAGACGCGCAGTTGGACAATAATTTCTGGATACTTAAGAGATTGCTCTTGCTGGACTGTAATTTTCAGAAGATCACTCTAATGACTCTTGAGTGCTAACTACTTAGAGCAGATGGGACACAGGCCTTCTGTGTTCAGAGAGTTAATGTCAGACAGTCAGAGAAATTGATTTATACTCTTTGCAAGGTTACACTGTCTTATTTAATTGTATGATGCTTGCTCTTTTTTAATTATATAAGCGCAGAAAACTTCCTGATTTAATGGAAAGTTTCAGAAATGAGCTTATCCACTCTATCCACAACGTTTTGGGTAGCACTATACGATACTGCAGATGCTATGTTGCAAGCCTTCAAGAGTTCTCACTTTTGCTCTAGGTTTGATTGAATGAGTGGATGCTGACAGCCGAGTCTAATTAGAGAGAATCTGTGACAGAAGAGAGATATACTTTAGTGTTCAGGTGTCCGTTTGAACGCATGGCCACTTACACCAATATAGAATAAGTCACTGGTGCAAGCTGCAGCAAGGTAAGGGGCAGGTTTGCTCTTTTCTGATCAAGTGGGATGGGCGGTTTAATATCAGCACTTGACCGTTGTGATAACTAATTAGCTACCCACTAACAGTATTTCTAAATGGCTGCCTTTTCCAGCTTGCAAACTAATGTACAAAATAAACTATTTCCCTGGGGATAGCAGAAAAGGAAAACTTGCATACCTGGAAGGTTCTCTCCAACTATTATTTCTGCATGGCTAGGTACTGCTAAGTGCCACGTGGCCTCCAGCTCACAGCATAAGGTGACCCAAAGAGCATTTCCTTTCAACGTAGCTCAAAGCAGAGCCACTAGGCCTGGGTCTCACATGCTGAAAAGGTAACACCGTTTGTTTCTGGTACCAGTTTATTAATTTCCTAGGAATTTATCAGTGTTTATTTCAAAAATTTAAAAAAATAGGTGAAAAATCAGTGAAAAAAAAAAGAATGTCATGGATTTACTTTATGGGGTAAACATCAGGGATACTGGAGAGAGGACAGGGAAAAGGAAGGGTGCCTCGTTAATGAAGTCGTTACCTTTGATCCCCATTACACAAACAAAACCAGCCTACGTTTCATAAAAGGGGCACCAGGGAGAACCCCACAGGCTCACAGCTGCTTTTTCAAAGTGCTCATTCTCCTGTGCTCTTGGACGGAGCTGACTTTTCCTCTCCACATCAGCCGAGTCAGGTGGGACATGCCCATTCCACGTGCTCCTGGGGGCTGCTCCTCGTGGCCGCAGGGAGACTGGAGTTTGCGGGTTGGAGGGCATGAGCGGTCCCTGTCTGGCGGCAGAAGGAGAAGGAGCTCTGAGCACGTGCCCTCTCTCTGGGTGGTGACAAGACCCTGGGCCCAGCTACTTACAGGGGCTTTCATGGGGCGGGGGGAGCAGGTGGGAGGCAAAGGATCATAGAATCCCAGGGCTGGAAGAGACCTCAGGAGGCATCTAGTCCAGCCCCCTACCCAAAGAAGGGCCAATCCCAACTCAATCATCCCAGTCAGGGCTTTGTCAAACCAGGACTTCAAAACCTCTAGGGATGGAGATTCCAGCCCCTCCCTGGGGAACCCATCCCAGCGCTTCACCACCCGCCTAGGGAAATAGCTTTTCCTAATATCGAACCTAGACCTCCCCCAGTGCAACTTGAGCCCATTGCTCCTTGTTCTGCCATCCGTCACTACTGAGAACAGCCTCTCTCTGTCCTCTTTGGAACCTCCCTTCAGGAAGCTGAAGGCTGCTCTCAAATCCCCCCTCGCTCTTCTCTTCTGCAGATAAATAAGCACAAATCCCTCAGCCTCCCCTCGTAGCTCATGTGCTCTAGCCCCCTCAGGATTTTGGTCACCCTCCACTGGACCCTCTCCTATGTGCCCACATCCTTTCTATAGTGGGGGGCCCAGAACTGGACACAATACTCCAGATGTGGCCTCACCAGAGCCGAATAAAGGGGAATAATCACTTCTCTAGATCTCCTGGCAATGCTCCTTCTAGTGCACCCTAATATGCCATTAGCCTTCTTGGCTACAAGGGCACACTGTTGACTCATATCCAGCTTCTCATCCACTGGAATCCCCAGGTCCTTTTCTGCAGAACTGCTACTTAGCCAGTCAGTCCCCAGCCTTTAACAACGATTGGGATTCTTCCGCTGAAGTGCAGGATTCTACACTTGTCCTTCTTGAACCTCATCTGATTTTTTTGGTTCAATCCTCTAATCTGTCTAGGTCACTCTGGACTCTATCCCTGCCCTCCAACATATCTACCTCTCCCACTAGCTTAGTGCCATCCACAAACTTGCTGAGGGTGAAATCCATCCCCTCTTCCAAGTCATTAATAAAGATGCTGAACAAAACCGGCCCTAGAACTGATCCTTGGGGCACTCCACTAGAAACTGACCTCCAACCTGACATTGAGCCATTGATCACTACCCATTGGGCCCAATAGTCTAGCCAGCTTTCTATCCACCTTCCAGTCCATTTATCCAATCCATACTC